GTACCTGCTCCCCACGCCGCAAGACCGGCGCAGTAGGGAGGAAGCCGTCAGTTGCCGGGCCCGCCTCAAGGCATGGAAGCGGAGTCTGTGGAAGCTGTGGGGAAAGTTCCGACGAAGTGAAGCCCCAAAACATGGGAGCCGAATGTCGATACTGCCACGCACGCAGTCTCGGCTCTGAGATGCATTAAATCCTCAAACCGTCTGAGATGAGAGCCGCCGGCCGGATGGGCTCAGCCAGGGCCTCGAGCATGGCCCAATGGCCGCTTCATTTGGGTTTTTTTTGTACAGTCCTTCCTTGATTCAGAAAGGAATGGAATCGTGTTCAACGGAGGTATTTTCATGTGGTGACACAAGGACATATTAGTGTGTGTGTGTGTACACATGCAAGCTGCATGTGGGTGGGTGGATGTGTGGACGAAGACAAGCTTGTTAGATGCTCGGCAGCTCTTAAGGCATGAAAACATGACCACTGCGAGATCCGTGAAGCCACTGCATGGAAGACTCAGCGGAACCCCACCAGGTTGTAATTCGCACTCCAAGCATCTGAGACCCGGACAGATACCAGAATTCGCTTCTCGTGGCTACGGTTTTCAAGAAGGACCTTGTCAAGCTGCGTAAAGCGAGTCTGCAGTCTGCATGCAGGAATGAATGGGCAAACGATGTCCCCTGCTTTCTCGCACGGTCCAGTGAGTTGCACGAGCTCGTCTTCGGCCGCTTCTTGTACGCTAGCGCTAGCGACGGATGTCATCATTCATGGCCGTCTCGACGCTGGTGATCATGGCTCCACGCTCCGAGGGCCCAGGAAGTCGCAGCCCTCGAGATTGCAACACATTGCAACTGCGTCGTCGGTCTCCATGCCAGACTTTCTCATGAGTGAGTCTTGGGTCACGTCGAGTTCGACTAGCAGCTAGCGCATTGGAGCAATCCGGAGGACCTTCTTGGCATTTTGGGGCATGCAGTACCTGGGAAGAGGCAGAACAGATGCGCTGGTTCACACCGACCTGCGTTGTTGCCGTGTTGTGGCTACAGGGAACGTGAAAGCCAAGGTGCATGTCCCCGTCCGCCTCGACTCCACCTTCCCACTTGTCCTGGAGATTGGGGTTCTCCTTGCATTGGGCCGCTCGCGAAATGCTCTGTTCATGTTAATGCAAAGGAGTCCGACACTACGGATGCACTCAATTTCGCAGAACCAACTGCGAAAGACATGTGATCTTGGTGTTTGCTCAGCCGGACAAGGTCATTGCAAAAGTTTTCAAGACCTGCACACCCGGCTGTGATCCTGTCGGAAAGTGCAGCTCATGGGCTGATACTGCCGTCACAGGAAAGGGAATCGTAGAATAGAATCCGAGCGGCCATATCAATTGGAATGGTAGTGACATCATCTGTCGCGCAAACGATTTGGAGCACTCCCGGGGCATTGCATGGGATGGCATACCTTTCTGCGGCAACATGCTGAAGATTGATGCCAGAGGCAATTGCGTAGGCTCCGAATTGGAAGCAAAATTCAATGTTACACTGTTCTAGCGATCGAGACCTGGTCGTGGAGGGAGCGGACTGACACATGCAGCTCCGAAGAAGCATGCTCGGTATATGCCCCAAGCCTACATCCCGAGTTCACGGAAAAGGAAACCCTTTGTTTGAAGACTTACGGCATGTGACTGCTGGCGGTGCATAATATAAACGATGCCTTCAAGGGGGTTCTGTGGATCTCAAAGTTGCCCCCGAAATTCGATGGTTCCCAGCTTTGGAGTTCTCCCTGCTGTGACTGCAATGCGCTGCCTGATGTCGCGGCTGCCTTCGTCAGCCAAATCGGTGACGGTCTTGCAGTCAACTGCGTGACAGGGATGAACCAAAGCTCAAACTGTGAGCGGTGCTCGAGCAAACCCAACGCCGTGCTTGCTTGCTTGCTTGCAGGGTTTCGGGTTGAGGATGCAAGTTCCCCTTCCCCTGCGCAGCTGCGCTACGCCAGCGTAGTTTCTGGTTTGGGTCGGTGCGAGACATGTCCCCCTTAGTACAATCCACTGGCCTCATAGCGGCAGTCCAAGTAAAATCGGTGTCCACTAGCGGCCGGCTGTAGCCCCAAACATTGCTGAGGGTTTTGTGCCGGTGGCTCCCTTTCGATTGAAGCAGGAACCATGCTAAGGTCCATGCATCCAAAAGGCTCCCGAACTGAAACTAGTTTGTTGAGCCTCGATCTGGGTCTTTCGTCTTCACGGTCGAAGTTCGTCTTCGCTGCGCTTTTTCGTCTTCAGGGCCGAATTGCTTCCTCGTGCCCGAATTTCGTCTTGGTCGGTCGTAGCTCGTCTTCGCAGTCGAATTTCGTCTTCACAGCCCGATTTGGTCTTTCGTCGTCAGGATCGAACTTCGTCTTCGCGACCGAAACTGTGGTTGCATAGCATCCAGGAGCCTCTTGAATGATGAGGAATTTCATCTTCGGGCCGATTTCGACTTCAAATTTCGTCGTCGCGCGCATGTTGAGCTTCATTTCCTGAAGAAAAAGTTCGTCTTCATCTTCGGAATTTCTGCTTCGCGGGTGTGGGGGGGGGGGGGGGACGAAATGGCGACCCAGCTTCCCGGGTCAACGTTTCTTATGGGTAACAGTGCGCAATGATCAGTTCAGGTGTCATCGTGCATTGCCACAGCTCCCTCTCTATTCATGTGCAAGGTGCACATTGCCATCTCGTCCCACAAACCCATTTTGCCACTTGTTGTGGCCCTCCTCGGCTGGTACCAGTACTGTGTACTGAAAGGCTCTTGCATCCTGCAAATGAAGTTTTGGAGGATGGGGCTTGTCTGCAACTACTGCCTGCGTAGCTGCTTAGCTTGGCGTGGTTGTCTGTTTCCAAGGACAACATGAAACCGTGCGCAAGGCATGTAAGAAGAAAACTCTGACCTGGAATTCTGCTGCCAAGCAACGAAGCGGGGGCCAATTAGCCGAACTTCTTCAGTTTCCGGTGTGATTTTGAGCACGAAGTCGGCCTCAGCTCCGAGTCCACATGCCCGCAAACAGGAATGTAAGGGACCGAACACCAGGTAGGGTAGAGACATGCTGCCGGTGCACCAAGAGGCTCTGTGGGACTTACAGGCTGGGGCGAAGCCAAGCCACGTCACTAGGAAAGCAGTACACGGCACCACTTGGCGCCACGATGCCGCCGCCATACTTGTACTTGCCATTCGGACGCCAGAGGCCTCGTTGTTAGGCTGTTATCTCCCACAACAGCGCAGGCGATCTTGGAATTGTGTACCATTTTTTTCGTTGACAGAGTTAGACTTGCAGACTTGTTCGACCTTACTTGAGTTAGGGGTGGAATGCTTTTCTTTATTTTGCTTCTTTGATCGGCCGGTGGCTTTCCGTTTTCGCGAGCGCCCTACGCATATGCCCAGTCCCCGGTCCCTATGAGTGGTCGAGGAAAGGGGAGAGAATGGGAAAGGGGATTGGGGGACCGACTTTTCTGACAGGCGTCGTTCCTGCGGCCGATGCAAACGTTACAACAGAGACAGGGATTAGCAGGCTTGGATGCGGAATCTTCGTGACACCTATTCTTTCGGGACTGTGCAAGAATGTGTTTAAGATGGCAACCGTCACAGAGCTTGAGCAATCTTTTTCCCTCTCGCATGGCTGAGATCAAGCTCAAGCTATCCTTGTGACAGTTTCCTCGTAACTCTCGTCGGGCACGGGTTCATGCGATTCTTGTTAAGGGTTCTTGGTTGCTCGGTTGCTTTTTTTGTGGAGGGTTCCGGCTGAGGTTTTCGGAGTCAATGAATTGGTCTTCAGGTTTTCACGAGCTTAAGGCTTTGGTTGCTCGATGTTGATTGCTTGGTGTTCAGCGCTGCGAATCTGTCTTCTTGAGTTTCAGCCAAACGCATGTCAAGCTGAACCTTCCCGGTGTTGGACAGTCATGGATGTTGATTTGTGCTACACCCTCACGAACAGTTTCAAGTTTCAGGGCTCAGGGTTTGGGAAGCCCGGTAAATTAAACCCAACTGATTACCCTCAGCTTTGGATGTCGACTCTCACGGCATGGATACGCCCGTGCGAGGGGTCTGAGTAACTACCGATATCGTCCAACTACAGAGCGCCCGTCACCTGCCCTCCCCCCATGCCTCACTCAGACAAAAGTCAAGCAAAAAGCAACGAAACAAATTCACACACCATTCCTTAAGTAGTCTTTGGATGTCGTGCGTTGACAGAGCAAGCCCGAGGAGCCACTGTCAATCGGCTGACCGATGGTGCTGACGTTCTGCGACACAGGATCGATCTTCAAAACGGCCTGAGCTACGGGGCACGCCACTCAGTTGATCTCCCATTCTCGATCTCTCCGTTTGCACGTCCCCCCTGCCCGTCTCAGCTTAGCAGCCTCTGCATGCGAGGGGACGCCGTAGATGCATCCATCCTGGCTTCGGCACAACATGATGAGACTTTCAGTGAGAACTCGGGTGATGGAAAGCATCTCCGACACCTGACCACAGCATTGTGGATTTACGCTCTCACAACTCGGACAATCCAGGCAAGTTCATGGTGCGAGGTCGGCGTGATACAGTGATCAACATCCCATCAAGGTCAGACAAAGTACTAAGAACCCCAATCGAAGACCAGTCCCGCCAAAACCGGCAAACCAACAAAGATGGGATGTCATGGTAGACGACTTGTCTGCTGATACAAAAATGGATCTTCTGCATTGTGCATTTGGGATCTTCTGCGTGTGCCAGCTGTAGACTTTGTTTGCAGTGTCTTGAATGCCGCCTTCTAGACAGGTGAGAGGTTCCAGCCTTACCGACCACGCCACCATGCCATTTCCTGGGCCAACGGCAGGGCAATAACCCTTGCCTTAAGGCAATCCGGAATTCTGACGCTGACATCACCATTGGCCTTCCGTGGACACCAAACCCCAAGCCGGCCTCGGAGCCTCCACACACGGCACCATGTCCCCAGCCGATACAGAAGCTTGCAAAGCCACCGCTTCGATTTGGCTTGACCCTGATAGGACGTGCAATCGAAGTCACTGGCCACCCTGAAGGAACTTGGGGCCAATGGTCGACACCTCCTGGTCAGAAGCAGGCTCATGATCGTCCCGACTCAACGGACTAAGTGCGTGCGACCATGGCATATGGCGGGTCGACTGCAGATGCATGGCGAAAATGGAGCAGCCACCCCCTACACCGTCAGTCCCTCACTGCGTGTGAACGTACTCTCCTGCTTCATGGGGTCGATCTTCAGAACCGATTCCGCACAGTTCGGAATCCCGTAGATGCAGCCATCACTCCCAAGAAGGCCGCCATACCACTTGCACTGCGGTGGAACAACAGAGCATTGCTAGGAGTCAAAAAACGACTCAGGGACAGGGACCAGCAAGGCCTAAGTGTGTTAAGAGTTCAGGTTGACCCAGGAACACAGCATCGGAAAAAATCACCAAAAAACCCAATTGACTAAGCTTTCTATTCTATAGGTTGGGGCAGAGTTTCGGGTTTCGTGGTCAATGCTAAGTGCAGAGAGCGGCTCTGCCCTTGAGCACTGGCGAACCTTCCCCAATGGTTGTAACGCGTCCTGTGGAAGAACTCAAAGCTCGGCAAAGCATAGGAAAGGCCAAGGTCTTAGGGTGAGGACTGGGCTTCTGGTTCGTTTCGAAAGAAGAACTACTGCAGTGGAGATCAAAGCCCTTCTCTAAGCTAATCCCAGCAGCCATCTGGGAAGATCTTGAGCACAGATTCGGCATTGCAAGGGATTGCATAAACGCAGCGATCGACAGGGCTCAGCACACCGCCGTGCCACTTCCTGGGATGTCCGCACTCGACAACTGGACCCGCTAGCTTTTGGAGTTCAAGAACGACCCCTGTAATTAATGTTATCCCTGAAACAAGCACAACATAGCCTTGCAAGTACAAGCGCGCACATCTTTTGGCGAAGAGGCCAGCCCCCTGTGAAGGACTCCCCTATCAAGTCGACCGTGCCGGCAGCTGGCGAGATGTGCAAAACCTCGCACTTTCGCTGTTCCGTGCTAAACGCATCTTGGACACCCTTGCCCTCACATCTCCATGCAAGCCCAAAATATCCACTCTTGTGCAGCTGCAGAGCCCTATCTGAGTTCGTTGGCACCCCGTAAATCGAGCCGTCCACTTGGATGCCGCGAAGCCACCTGAGTCGGGCTGGGCAGCATGGCATTTAAGTCTCTTAGTACAACAGCCCGGTTGCATGTCGGCATGTTGGCAACGGAGCTTCATCAACTGAGACGTCTCATAGTGTGGGTAACTTGCCCACAAGTCCGAGCAAGTTCCTGCCGGCAACTGGAGCGGCCAAGCTGCTTAAACTTGCCTGGCAGCTCCGGGCCAATTGTCTCCACAGCCCTTGCATGCGTGCAAAGCAAGGGGTTTGGGGGCAAGGGGCACGCGACCTAAACTTGCGTTAAAGGACGGCTTACAAGCCAAGCTTCCCATCAGCTGGCGATACCTTGAGAACACGCGGCGCGCTGCCTGGCCGGAGGCCGTTCTTTCAACAGCGAAGGCGGCGAGGACAAGGAGCCCAAAATCCAGGCATGGTTTGACAGACTGTATGCATTTGAGCACATCGGGTCTGCCATTCGGACTACATGATGTGCGAAGATTCCAAGCCATGCGTAGCAGATCTGTTTACGGTCTTCGTGCTTCGAGGCTGCAACATTGGGTATCAATCTGACAAAGCTTCAGAACCAAAATCACTCCGACGAGAGTCTATATGGTGTACCGTGCATTATGACAAAACAAGAAAACGAAGGCTTCCAGTCACGTTTCCCCGCAATTGCCTGGCACTCCGTATATGCAGCCGTCATCACCCAGCTCCCCACCCAGCCACTTGTCACGGCCCATGATGACGGCCTGAAGGAGACGGAGAGCACAGGAAGAACTTTGGTTCTGTGCTACCTGTAGTCCTTGCCAGTTCCATGTCTTGTCTCAGCTGGGGCCGTCACATCTAAGACTTCCACCGAGCATTTCGCCAAAGGCCGCCTTGGCTGACCGGAAGCAGCTTCAGCCACAAGACTCTGCTTTGAGCATGTGCACAGATTGCACGCCCTGAATGAGCCTGAATGTGCGATTGAGTCCGAGTATGTGGGCCTGACACGAGGCCGCCCATGCGCAAGATGCCAAACTGCTAAACTCCCTCGAGCAGCTCTCCACGCTGGCGTTAATCCAAGAGGCGACGCGGCGTAGTCATGCACCTGGCCCGCGGCACAGAATCGAATCGACGGACATTCACGTATCACCCCAAAGTGGCCGAGATCCAGAGTTTTTCGTGGTCTCTGTAACATGCTCATGTACTATCACACTGCGCTCCCTCTCGCTCCAAATTCGTGGTCATCGGACCCCCCGCGACCGGCGCATGCTTGGCCTGCACCTGGCACAAAGTCTCCCGAATAAACCTGGCCCTGCACACCAGCCCCCATAGATCCTTGCTCGAGGCACTGCTGGAGCAGTCAGTCGGGCAAGGAAGTGTCGCCAGGCGCCGCGTAGAAGACCCAAGGAGCACAGGCAAGGGCAGGCGCGCTCGTTGGCCATGGCGTGGCTCAGCTGGGTGCAGCGGCGCAGCGGGTCCCTTGATCTGGCTTTGGGCTACAAAGCGCAGAATGGGAAATTGGCTTTAAGTCTTAAGTCTTTAAGTCTGCATGTCATCTTCCAGTGCGGGCTCAGCCTGAGCTCCTGGGCGGAGACCCTCTGGGGTGGTTGAAGCAATCTAGCAAAGTGAAGGATGATCGATTTAAATCTTGACGCAGTCGAGGCCACAACGATCTGTGCTAGCTTGCAGCTTATGCGCCTGCTTCGGAACCAAAATCAGAAGTGAACTCTTCGCCCTGACTGACTTTGAATTCTCGAGTATGGTCGGGCTACCGAAGGCAAATCAGCAGGGCCCCCATAGGCACAGTCAAACTTGACCCTTTGCCCGACCACGCCGATCCTTAGTTTCCAGCGGTGCCTCCACCTGGCTGGTGGCCGGGCGGCTCATATCGCGGCTGCGTTCTGAACATGCAACCGTGGAGAACACAATTTATCACGAGGAACCTCCGACTCTGACTAACTTTCGGACTAGCTCGAGTCTAGACTGCCGATTTCGATCCGCTACACACTGGACAACAAATCCAAACCAAAGATGATGGCCGCCGATAGCAATCCAATTTGCAAGCTGTGGCCGGATAAACCTGATTGTTGCTTTGGAGTTCCCTCATACCAGTAGCTTCAGCAAATTCAAAAAGACTACTTAGACAAGAAGGTGCAGTGTTTGCGCAGTAACACTCGACAAGCTGCACCAGTGCTGCAACCCTTGACCTGGACCTTGAGTGAAGGAATGCTCTCAAAGGTAGTGCACGCAGCAATCAATGACAGTGAAGGCCTCTTCTGAAGACAGGTCGGTGGTGCCCCACTGTGAAAGCAAGCGCCCGACTTGCTCAGAACATGGCGAAGCCTTGTGAAATGCTGTAAGCTGCAAAATCATCGAGGCATCAATGCGGGAAGTTTCGCTGAACAACTACTGTAACTAGTCTACTCCAAACGGGTCGGGCTAGATTCGGCTAACGGCTAGATTTATCATACGGTTCTGCTGCTGGCACCACATAGCATTTGTGTGGCTGCTGGCAGGAAGTGAGCGTTCCAGTAGGTTGTGTTGAAGCCGGGGAACTGCATCTTCAATCCCTCGCCCGGAGGCCCCATGCTCGAACTCGACAGCCAGTAAAAACTCTTGAGACTTTGACGATACCATGCTACAACAAAGTTGATGCATCCGGTCTTAGACGCCGGCCGCCAACCAAAATCCACGATGCTGGTCGCAGTGAAGCCTGTTGGAGGCCGATTCCAACTACTGGACTGTGCGTGGTCTGCAAGATAACCGTCACCTACGATCTTAAGCTTGGCAGCCTAGCAGCTTGCATTTTTGCTCTTGCAGAATCTGTATGCTCGCGTGGGATGGCCATTCTGGTTGAGGTCTGGTCTGGTCTGGCTTAGCCAAGGTCAAGAGACTGCATCCCTTGGCGGGTCGAAACAAAACGCCCGAGCTTCACTGCCTTCCATCTTGTGCTGTGAAAGACCTCGGTCCGGGCGCTGTAGACTCTAGACTATCATTCTCTTTCTTTCATAGGGCTTACAGGCTCTTTGTGTCTTTCTTTCAGCAGGGCTTCTGTCTGTCTCTCTCTCTCTCTCTCTCCCCCGGGCATGGGGACGTCTCACCGTCCCCGGGCCAGTTTGGCCCACCCGATCATATTGATCAGGTTCTTTCTCTCTCTCTCTCTCTCTCCCTCCCTCTCCCTCCCTCCGCCGCTGCAACCATTAGCGCAGCAAAATGCGGAGGTCTAGAGCGAAGCTGTTCTCTTGCACACAGCATCCGACAGCGTAGGTTTTCATTTTTTTGCCAGGCGGATCCCAGATAGGCAGCAAGAAGACACAGAGTGCGTTTTTAGGACTCTAGGGCCCGTGCAGCCGGAGTCGGGGAAGTTCCAGCAGGCGGAGCTGAGGGGCACCAGGACCCTGAAGAAATGCTCATTATGTGAGACAGTCGTTGGGAAGCCGTGGTTTAGCTTCCACACGTCTGAAACGACAACACCCTCAACTACTGCTGCAAGAGTCATGCGTTGGAGCGTTATTGCTCCGCGGATCTAGTTGCGGCCTTCGATCTGAAAGCACTGCTCCCGATTGGGCGAGAAGCCCAGATTCAACGAACATAACTCACATGAGAAAGCTCATCCCAGCTGTTCGGCATGTAGGGGACGAATGTGGCTTACGGTGCACCTGATGAGCCATGGTGCCTGATGCCAAACCATACAACCACGACGAGCAGCATCGCTTAACTCAAAGTCCATGTATGGAAGAGGCCGCATGGCACCCTTTTGATGTCAATGCATGCACGCACTATTTGGTGTGCACTGTTTCACGACCTGTTTCAATGGGAAATGTGCTCCGCCCTCAGCATTGGCGACGACTTCCGAGTTGAAATGACACGAAAGCCTGTGAACCGGCGAATGCCCTGGCAACATTCAGTCACCGACGCTTGCCCAGGCCAGAATGTGGGAAAGGTCTTCCAACCTGGCATCTGGCGAAGGCCAAAACTGAAAGGTGCCGAAGATCACCATGATGCTCAGGGGAAGCATTTAATTGAGCTTGCTCGTGGGCAACTGTGGTCGATGCTGATCTAGACCTACATGTTGCAGTCGCAGAATGCAGAAAGGTCTGACTACCTTCCGTCTCAAGCATGCTTCGTTGCCGCAGGGTCAGAGGCTGCTTCTGAGAAACCACATCACGCAGCCTCGACAATATGTTGGTCAATGCTGAAGGCCCCTTTCCTTTGTTCGAGCAGCGCTTGAAGGATCTTAAAGGTATCTGCAGTTTCTACAGCAGACTCATGCATAAAGCCGAGCAAGAAGACATGTCTGGCATCTGAGCAAGCGACGCAAGTTCACCAACTGCAGCCTCATCACTCTTGAATACATTTACTTCACGTTTGGAGTTGGCATATAGGATTCTAAAATCGCAAGGCCATATCCGTGTAAAGATGAACAACAATGACAAGCAGTACTCTTGAGCCTGCAAAGGTTGCCAACATTACGCTTTACAGTCGCGCTGCACTGTCTTCAAAGGATCACGATGCTTGGTCCGCGACTCTGCAACGTAGACTGCACTACAAACACAGGAAGCGGCTGGTGAGAGAAACTCGCAGTCAACATGCTTGGCTTGTCAGGAAACCGGATCATGTTCGAGGTATCGGATGGCAAGTTGCAGAGGTCTGAAGTTCAGGGTTTCAAGTCATGAGCTAACAACTACTGTCCATGTGTGCGGAGATCGCTGCATCACTCTAAGCTCCAGGCCTCTGCGAGGTGTCCTCTAGTGTGACAGCATCGACAAGGCTCAGACTCGGAGTTTAAGGCATCGGGCGTCGTCGCTACACAAAGTGCTGAATGCACTGGACTACTGAAAGCTCGAGTTTGCAACATTTACAAAAAAGCGTGTTGGCAAAAAGAAGCTCGGATCTGCCGCCAAAAAGTATGGCAATCCTCCACTCATCTGTTAAATCCTTAACACGAATCAAGTCAAGCACCGCGCCGGAATCACTGGACACGTGGACAGGTCGAGAGCAAGGGTAATGTCTTGAAACTCACGCTGCAACCGGCTTTGGCCGCTGCCATGCATCACGAAAACAGTCATCGACAGCATCAACTGCCGTCCGCATCGGTCTGTATGATTCGATGACATGTCAGCCACGTAGTTGTATGCATTGACAGAAAGCTGCGAGGACTCCCTTGCCTGCACACCCCTTCGAGAAACCCGAGGTCACTTTGCTTGCGGGAAAGTTTGCCAAACTCTGCCTGAAGACCCTGGACGGACCTGTCCTTAGGATAAAAGGGTTAAGCTGGTTAAGCGGTTAAAAATCAAAGCGATTAACACCTAACCACTGAAACCAGCTAAGCCCCTCCATAACCTTTACACAGCTGTCCATCTCCGCGAGTTGCCTAAGTCTAGGCTCGAAGCCTTCTCCACAACCCAGCATCTGAGCGAGTCTCAAGCATCGACTGCTATTCCAAACCGAACACGCTTCGAACACTATAGCCCGAACTCATGGCTTATCGTGGAAACGCTGCGTGGACAGGGGTCCGATCTGTTTTGAATGTCCACTGCATCTCAGATTCAGCTTGTACCGCTGCAAATCTGTCAGCTGCCGGCAGTACCGTTCCGCAGACAGACGCTCAAGTCTGGGTCTCAACAGCCGCATTGCTATATTGCTAAGCCGGATCAGACAGCCGTCAAATTCACCCCTGCTTCATCTCAGAACTTCAGGAAGTCATTGCAGCAGAGGCAAGCAAGCGGAGCGAAAACCTGGGCTCCTGAATGGCAATGAGGATGTGGGATGACACAGGATCACGGCAAAACTATTATTAATTAGACTATTAGTCACTAGCTGTGAAGACCGGGGGAGTGGTCTCGGATTGGGCATAAGGAGGCGGACTGTCACGGAATGCTTGACTGACAAAGCTTACATGTTCCGGACTTGATCTGCCTAGGGGCGCACGCACGCACGCACGCACGCAGGCAGGCAGGCAGGCAGGCAGGCAGGCAGGCAGGCAGGCAGGCAGGCAGGCACGCGCACACACACACACACACCCACCCACCCACGCACGCACGCACGCACGCACGCACGCACGCAAGCACGCACGCACGCACGCACACACACGCACAAGCACGCACACACAGTGCAGGTTGATTCAGGTTTGATTTAGGCGAAGGAAGCCAACCAGTGCCCAGGACGTGCATGTCCACACACTGGTAACTTTTGACACGTATCCTCATGGACAAGAATGGCAAAGGTGAAGAGCTGTAACTCACTAATGTACCGAGGACAAAACCATGACATCATTCCCCATCACACCGAGGGTGAAGAACGTGACATGCTGCAGCTCGATCAAGAGAACATGTGCGGTTCCGTGATTCGGACATCGAAAATACATATTAGCACAAGCGCTGAAATGTTGGAGGGGTTCTCGGCTTAGCCCCAGCCATCCAGAATACTCAGATGCCGATGACAGCAAACCAACAGCAATGATGAACCATGTACAGCAACGTCCAGTATGTCACAAGCAATCATTGCAGGTACGTCCAGAGAGCGTCCTCTCCTGATATCACATTCCAATGGTGTTGTCTTCGTTGGGCAATGCACACCAAAGGAATCATTGCCCCCCTGCGAGATTCTGAGAAAAGACGAGAAGACCCTTGGATACAGGGTTGCCACACACACACACACGCAGACAGAGTCTTGTGCTCTCAACCGACCTCCGGAAACCAAGGGCCCGCCGGAACAACAAAACATGTCCAATTCGAGCCCGAGCTCAAATATTCGGCCAAGTACTTGGCTTCGGCCACGCCATTCCCAGAAGGCTTGTTCCTGATAACAGACATCACAACCGCAAAAACTGCCAGGAGGCGCTTGAGTTCATGGCTGTGATTGGGCAACAGCTGAAACTCTGGAGGACAAGTGGGCCTGGCAACCTGAAGAAGGGGAGAGACCCATGCCCTTCTTGCATGGCGAGGCTTCGCCGAGCCCCAAAACACAATCGCTTACGGCTACTTGAAGACTTTTCGACCGCATCTACACGCGCGCCGAGGAGCAAAATGTCGTGTTCAAACTTGGTCGGGCCCGCACCGCTAGTGACGTTCATCAGCGCCAGTTGGGGCAAGCCTGTAACAAACTTGGGCTGACAGCAGATCGCTCGTGAGTCAGAAATCGGTGGATGCTAAACTCGAGACTCAAACATACTCAAACCAAACATCCTGCTGTGCAGATCTTGAACAGTCTTGAACTCTTTACGCGTGGCAGGCAAGCAGCTGGAGAAAGGTAGCAGCGTGCCCTGTTTGGAGCAGCCGCGAGGGCAGCAAACCAGCTTCAGAAATTGCCTCGGCTGTGGCAGGTGCCTTACAAACTGCTTCCATACACATGCTTCATGACTGCCAGACAAGACGGTACAAGGCCTCCACTAAGTATCTCGGATGCATCTCGCGTGCCCTTCACATTATAGCACAGAGCGGGCAATTGCTTAGGCTTTCTGTTTTTGCTAGGGCAGTTACTCTATTGATCATCGATTCAGGATTCGCGGCTACCCCGGCTACCGCTAAACCGCATCTTGCATCTGCAGAGTGTGGCAGCTGCCAGCTCTACCAGAAGTTAGGCATCGAACTGGAGACGCCAGCTGGGTCCCCTACAGTGTCTGCCTGCCCCGAGTTCGATTCTAGTTAAACAAATTTGTTAATCACAGGCGCCCACCGTTGAACAGCGCCGCGACAGTTTCAAAGTACTCACTGAGAGTGAGCCAGCCGGAATCCTCCACAGATGCTTGAAAACAAAGGTGAGCCCAATCTCAAGCGTCTGGTATCTAGAACCTTGGTCGGAAGACCCTATTGATGCATCGTACATGTGCAAACTGATGGGTCAGGTAGCGGTCTTCAAGACAACGAGTGGCCCTCGCCTCCCATGTCGGCATGTAAAGGCCGCTGAGCACCGCAGGTCGCTCGACCGGCCCGGATCCACGCAGAGTCGGGAGCAGGGAGTAGCCTCCCATGGCCTCCAGGACTTCGCAGTTTGAGCAGAGTGTCGTGGACTTCGGTTGATGATAGGAAAGCAAAGTCTATCAGCACATGCCTGGACAAGGAAACCCTCCAGTGGCCGGTTAGAGGACCGGACATCTCTTGCAAAATTCGCCTCCCTTGAACATACGGAAGTTGCAACCCGCCCACCCCCTACGATTTGCAAAGGCACCTGTGCAGGCGTTGCGCCAGCAAAATCCAGCAGCGTACGTGGCACATCGATCAGGGACACAGGGGCCTCCTACAGCAGCGACGGTGAGAGACTCGCTGGTGTGCTGAAGGCTATGAGGAGGAAGGTCCAATGCTGGGAGTTTGCAGAGATGTCATGCGAAACGTTCAGGCGCCTGAAAGGACAGTGCTCAGATGTGCTCATTGTCACCACAGCAAGTGACACCATCCAGGGTAAAGTGTCTAGAAGAGAAGAATGGGCGTTAGCTTTACAGATGAGGCGTGCACTTCGAGTTGTGCGTGAAGGAACCGCAGAGCCTGTTAAAGTGCAGAAAGACAAGGCCAGGGCATGGCCAACGAGCTGCAGCTGCATGACTTGGAAACCCAAAAAAACTGAACGATGAGGACCGGCAGTACGCAGCATAGTCCATGAGAGAAGCCGTCGATGCCATGCCATCGAGGCATGAGGCAGATGACATGATTGCGACTACGACCGGTTCCATGGAGCTTCTGCTTGCGACGAGTAACCCTTACAACAAAGACAAGCTGACACACAGAACGTGAGCGCGTGCTCCACACATTGCAGCATGTCTCGCATGACAATCTGACATCGAAGCACTCAGCATGAGCCACAGCTTTGCCAAATGTCTCCCTCGAGCCCCCTCTTTGCCCCTGCTCTTGCTCCTGAACCCCCTCATCCAGAACAGGTTTTATCATGTGTGGTTTACGAAAGGGGGAAGCGATCACGAAAAACGGTTGAAGCTCCGCAGGATATACCATAAGGCATCCGACTCTACGGTTTCATGAAACCCGAAGCACAATTGTGGGCTCTGCGGTGGTGTCACGATGCAAACTCAAGAGTTCATGAAGTGACTCTCCGGAATTAAGTTGGTGCTGCGTGAGCAGCCTTGCTGTCGCCACTTCCAGATTCAACTCCCGGCCTCGATGGCATCTTTCCGGATAGAAGGCCCGGCTAGGATCAAAGGGATCTTCACAGAGGGCTCCCAGGGACTGGACTTGGCCCACCTTCGACGAAGGAGGCACAGAGGCTCTGCAAGGCTCTTCCCGGTTTCCCCGGCCCCCTCTTTCGGCTTGTCGCGGCAACAATCCCCATGGGAATTTCGGTAGCTAGAACCTTCGAGTGTCCTAGCTGCTAGGTCCAAGCTAGCCGTCGGACACAAGCCTTTGTCTACACTCCAGCCGTCGAGTCGGCGCGAAGATTCACATCATCAACTGTCGAAGCACAACAGGTAACCAGTAGAGCAACTTCTGCTTTCAAGCTCCAATCTGGCATAAGACCAAGAAACTCACCGTGGTCTCCAAGGTGTTCGCCGTGGTCACTGGTGACGGCGATCACTGTATTCCTTTCTCTCTGACTGTTCCGCGATGTCAAGGAGACTTACGTTGATGCAGTGTTCAGCTGGGACCCCATGGTCGAGTTGCACTCGGAACAGATTCGACTGTCGGAACGAGATGGGTGGCTTGATGCAGTTGTGCCCTGGCCTTCTTCAGATGAGGCATGCGGCGTGTAATGATACAGTCTCAGACCCTTCGTCCGCCCATGGAGAAGGTAACCCTGGTCCAGCTACCGAAGCCCCGACTTCTCGCGGGGCTGATGGCATATGGCATGCTTCCGTGCAGGCGAGGCTCTCTCGGGCGTCATGTTTCTCCAAAAAATGCAGCAGCTGGTGGATCCTGGCACAAACATACAAGGACCTACCTACCACGGTACACACAAGCTGCTTCGATGGCGGTTCGGGAAACGGCTCCCGGCGAAATACATACACACGTACATACATACATACATACATACATACATACATACACACATACACACATACATACACACACACACATACACACATACACACACATACACACATACACACAGATACACACAGATACAC